CAGACCAGCCAAAACCAAAAAAACACAAAAAGTTCAGACCCATGGAGGGATACCCAGGAGAGGCTGGACAGGAGATATAGGTCTGAACTTTTTGTTTTTTGGTTTTAAGAGTGAGTTGTATTGATTGTAGGTAGATGCTCACAGATGCTAACACCTGACAGATGCTCACAAAGACACTGTTTTGCGCACGCTGGTGGTAGCCTGTTCTGTAATTACACCGGTGACCAGATTACACCAGTTTCACGCTTTAGACCTCTGGCCACTGCAGGACAGCGTGATGTTGGCAGAAGAGGTTGTTTTCAAGCCTCGTTGGGGCTCAGTGTGGCGCTGGGGGGGCAGATGAGAGGTGAGAAAATTGACAATCATGCTGAGAGGTCTGAAACAGGTTTGATGGACTACATTACTACATTGTACAACCAGGCTGAGAGACAGCTTGCCACGCGTGTGGTTGGAACGGCGAGTAAGTACAGTACCAACTCATCGAGTGTTCCTTCTTCAGTATTCCATGCTGTACACTGTACCCGGTTTTTGCATAATTTTACAAGTTCGACACATCGACTTTCATCAACCATTTCTAGGGTGAGATGGGCCTGGATGGAGGATATACACAATGGACCTCCAAACATGACAGCTGCTCAAATCTTTAGGAGATGGCCACCTTTTTGATGGAGACAGCTGCAGTCTGGGGGCACCTGCAGCTCGCTCGCCTCAGCATTTCAACCCCTTCCGAAGTTTCACGAAAATGGACGTCCTACAGCCGTCTGGGCTGCCACGCGCGTCCTGGCGAACCTTCTGCGGTTCTGGTCGAACCCACGCGGAACCGGGACCCAGGAGCCGCTCCCTTGTGGCTCAGCTCGCTGGACCGCCAGGAAGGCGCGCCAAAGTGGTTTTTGGGGGCCATCGGGCAGATCAGTGGCGGGGTGCTTTCGACCTCCAGAATATCACTCAGATGACCGTCCAAGGATCCAATCTGACCCAAAGAGAGTCATTCCTCCTTCCTCAGGAGTTTTTTTTTTGCCTCGCTTCAAGCATGGCTTCGCTTCCTCTTGTGGCTTCGGCCGTGCCTTCAGGTCGCCCCACCAGTCCCATCTACGAGCTCCGGAGGCCCGAGGCGTCGGGACGCCCAGCACCGCGGGGGCCGAGGCACACGCGGGGGCACAGCGGGGTAGTACCATGTCCAGCCATGTCCAGCCCTGTCTAGCCATGTGTGACTGGCTCGGAGGGTCCAGCAAGATGTAAAGGGTACTCATGAAGGCGATCAAATGATCCAAACGGTCGGCTTTCCGGTGATCGGAGGTTTTTCACCCTGCCCAGCGTGGAGGGTTCAGCAAGGAGCTCCTTTGATTTAACTGCCCTCTTTCTGTGCCTGGCTGGGACAACTTCTCAGCCAGTCTGATCTTAACGAAAGGCTTCCAGCTTTGGTAGTCCCGATTTCCATGCGATTTCCATGCGAGAGTTCCCACGACTGATCGAGGCATCGATTGGTGAACCAAGCAGTACGCCCTTGGCCAGTTTGAGATGGATTGATCGGTTATATAAATGGTTCAAGTTCAGACATCTATCAGTGTCTTTCTCTCTCTCGCTCTCTCTGTCTATATATATATATATATTACTATATTTATAAATACATACTTATCCATGTTACCCAAGATAGTTTCTGCTAGCTACTGTGGCTGCTGGATGCTTGAATTGGCGATGCGGCGCACTGGTGCAAAAGTGAGTCACTTCCTTTTGTCCTAGTCAAGAAGCCTAGTTTGATGCATGCTTGCACCCTCTTGTTACTCGTGAAGATGATGCGGCCTGGCAAAGCCACATGACAGGTCCGCACGGCTTGGGATACTGTCTCCAAGCAGGCTGGGCATTGCTGTTGCAATCCATTTCTACTTTGAAATCATTTTTATTCTTGTTTGGCTTCTGCTCAGTGGAACTGAGCCCCCCCCCAAACAGGTGCAGTATATAGATTGAACGGAAGCTCGGCCTTTTTTTGTATATGAACAGCGGCACCTGAACGAATGGATTTTGATATGATTTTATAGTCATTTCCCCCCGAGGCCTTTGAGGGATCTCCCTATTCGAATGCACGGCTCACGGCTCGGCTCACTCCAGGCCGACCAGATCTCCCGAGTTCCACGAGGCCGATGTGTTCCGAGCTAAACGATGTATGCCTGAGGGGGGGAAAGCCGCCAAAATGTTATAGAGATTCACACATATTTATATATAAATAAAAAACAATAACTATAAATATAGCTATAGATATGTTAATTTATATATAGTATAATCTAATATACAATATAGTAATATATATATATATGTCAATAAACAAACCAGACTGTCAAACACATTGTGCTTTACACAGTATGAGCTTAAAGCTATAAGTGCTGAATTGAAACCTTAACATAGAGTTGAGTCCCCCTCCCTGGTTTGATCCTTTTTGATCCATCTTCATGTCCTGAAAAAGATCCGAGGATGTTTGGAGGTTCCAGACTCTCCCAACTCTGGAACTGCAGTCTCACATGTAGCTCCAGTCTTGCCGAGTCTCGCCTGCTTCCCTCTGTTCGAACCCTCAGGCGCCCGCCAGCGAAGCAGCTCGCCCTACTGTGGCCCGGTGGCCCGGACGGGACTCCTGCGCACGGCTCCTGGCGGCCCCGCTACGCGCGCGCGGTGCGGCCCGGTGGTTCTGTGTTTGGCCCATGAGGGTCATCCATCCCTGGTTAAGGACGTACGGCCTATGAGGGTCGCAGCCATGTTGGTGACACGGACGTATGGAGTGATCATGAGTGATCATATGCAGACCATTGATTCGTTGAATGTTTACCATGTTTATGAGACGTACGCCCCAACCAACATCTCAATGTTGGATTCGCCCACGTCAGGTTTGGAGACCTGCTTGCCACAGTGTCTGGAGACCTTAGTGAGCTGGGGCATCACGTTCCGTTCGATCACGTTCGTCGAGTCGTGGGCGCCTCCGACGCCGAGTTGCCGCACGCGGACCGCGCGGTCGGTGAGACCACGTCTTTCGGATGAGACCAAGTCATCGAAGGATCGAAGATGGAGACATGTATCATGGAGCACCCAAGTCGTGCACGCAGTGGCCACAGCTCGTTCTGGCCACGAAACGCGCACCGTCCCTTCTGACGAAGGGGCGACCCCTGTAAACACCCCTCTTCCTGACCTTCGGAACTCCGGTCGCGGAGTTCGAAAAAGCTGAGGGTCCACCCCGAGCACGTCCTGGAAATGGGATCCAGGCGTCTCTAGTATCTGGATTGAAAGGGCCGCGGGTGCAGAGATGTGCAGAGTTGTATTGTACGGAGTTGTATATGTTGTTGTCATTGATGATGCTTGACCATGCTTGATGTTGCTCTTTAGAAGACGTCTGTCGATTCAAATCCAAACATTATGCCACAGGGTGTCCAACTCAATTCTACCTTGAGTGATTAGTGACTGGACATGAGTTAGGTTCGAGCACGCGCTTCTTGTGCTGGAAAGACGAGGACAGTGCATGAGAAAGCCACTCATATAAGGTTTGTATTGCCTAGTAGCGAAATCTAGCGTCGCAGGTCTCCCTGGTCTCCCTATTCTGATACACGCAACCTGTGCATGCCCAAATGTATCACTATATATAATCTAGACCCCACAAATAACAGACCTTTCTTCACCGGCGGAAATGGGCCACAGGCCCTGCAGCCTTCGTCAGGGGAACCAAGTGGAATGGAAGAGCTTGTTTTTTGGCAGCGTGCCTTCTGCTGGGCTCTGCCAGGTCACGCAGTCCGAAGACCTGAGGGTGAAAGAAACGGACTCCCAAGAACGGCCCCAACGTTCGCTTACGCGACGAATTCGGCCACGTCTTTTCCCTTCACCGAGGCGCAGAATGGCAGCTCAGGTGGGAAGTGGAGAAACAGAGCTGCGCTACTCCCCTGCAGATGAACATGAAACCCTAAAACCACTTGGTTGTACAGTAATTAGAGGAACATGCGGAACATGGTCTTCCACGGGTCAATTCTCTGTAAGTTTGCCGCGGGGTACATATATTTGACTTTGATGATGTGACTGGACTCCGTGATTCCCTTGACCTAACGTCCAGGATTCAAGGACACCCCATGCCCGCTTAGATGGAGTTTTGAGGTAGCCAAGACTTTCCAGAAGACTTCCACCCACAAGATTCGGACACATGCAAGATAGATCATGATACAACATGATACAACTGTTCTCAGTTGTTGAACACGTTGGTCACCAGAAAATGCAGTTTCCCGGTTTGAACACGCAGGTGCTTTCAGCCCCCGTGCCCCGCAGCACTTGCAGGCCCGGAGAGATTGGACGTACCGGCCACTCATCCCTTATATACCCATTCTTACTGTCTTCCAATCATAATTCTTGTTATAATGATGATACAATGTTGTTAGAGTTTCTATTTTACTTTATACCCAGACGCATACATGCACCCTCATATGGAGGGGTCGTCTTCCCCTTTTCACGGAGCGTCTGGGGTCCCCCGGTTTGGACGTGTTCGCGCTGCCAGGGACGGGCCCCGCCCTGGAGCACCTCAGAGCAGGGCTCCCCAGTGGGCGCCAGTTCGGTGTTTGGTGGTGTAAACAATGAATTGTATGTCATTGTATGGCATTGCAACCAATCGGGTTTTGTATTTTGGTCTTTTATTGTGGGTTTACCATGTTTTAGTTGTTTAATGAAAGATATGGAAGGGACTACAGTGACCAGAGGTGGTTTGCAGTTTTGGACTCCCAAGACGCTTGGGTCAGGCCCCTTGACGCCGATCATGCTGCATGCAACGTCCGGTTCGATACATTGTACCTCACATTTGGGGTCCACCATGGCCCACCCTAGCTATCCTCGCCACCCTGACTCTAAGGGCTGGCGCGCCGCCGCAACTGCCACTGTTCGGCGCCCGGAGTGTCGACCGACTACGTCGTTACCCGAAGGTTATCACTGCTGGGTCACCAGAGATACATGTTTCATTTGATATATGTTTCACAGACCAATTGTCATTGAACCGATGTATTTGGCGGTGTTGGGCTTGTGAGCCTTTCTCCGCATCACCTCCTTCCTTGCCATGTCTCCATGCTGAATGAGGATAGATTTCGGAAGGGTTGTTTCCTTGGTGCGGATCAACTCATTCATTTCAAGAGGCCAGACCGTAGCTGTGGGTCGAAACCACCCACTTGGCAGGTGAAGCTACATGATGTTGGGGCTCCAGGTTTTGACCCATCCCCAAATCTGAGAGATGAGTGGAAGAGATGCTTTGGCGCTGGTGCTGATAGCGCGCGAAGTACACTCTGCCCATCTCTGCTCCACAAGCCCATCCGGGTGAGGTCGAGCAGAGGCACAGCTCCAGGGCGGATGTTGCACTCTATTTGCGGCAGTGCTTCTGTGAACCTTTACTTGAGGTATGTCAGTATGTTGAAATGCTTGAAGACAAACAATGAAAGGCATGAGCAAGTCTGACTGGAGTAGACTGCGATGTCTTGGAGTGTCAACCAACTCCCAAACCTTTGGCCAGACTCGATTTTCGTTGCATCAAAAAGCGTCCGATGTGAAAAGTGCCAGGTGCCATCGGTGCAGATCCAGATTCCAGCCCGTTGCGCTGGTCGGGTCTCCTGCGTGAAAGGATCTCCTGGGGTTGTGCTGGTCAGTGTGTGTCAACTTTTAAATTTTTGCATAGGGGATATGCTACCCAACCAGTGGGGCGGTCTTTGTTCCTTCTTCAAGGAGGTCGAACTGTGAAATTACACATCCATACTGACTGATGAAGCAGAGGAGTTTTCATCAAGAGCTGATGCAGCTGTGCCCTCTGAAAAATATCCTTATTATGCCAACCTTCAGATCTGCTGTACCAGCTACAGGAATATGACAGGCTTCAACATACGTAACAATCGAATCTCTGTGGCTTTCTATTAGGTTGGGTCTTATTTTAGGCTCAATGCCATGAACATCTCTCAGCGAAACATATTAGTGAAGCAAGCGATGTGATGTGGACATGTTCCCATCAATGCGCGCACATGACCCATGTGAGCACTCTAGTATACTTCAGTCCCATTTCGCTTGAGCTCAGGGTGAGCCCGGTCTTTGCGCCTTTCTTCGTGCGGCGCCCCAACCGGTGGAGTCGGGACCGGAAGGGACCGAAGAGCAACAGCAGACGCTCAGGGGTCTGTGTTTGTCTGTGTCATCTAGGGTCCCACACTCAAACTTGTTGAACTCCTCCTTTCCCGGCCACGCAGGGCTATTCAAATGCATGCAGCCCGCAGTCGCGCGGAGGAGGCGCCGAGCATGCTGCAACGTAGGCCATGAACAGGCGGTTCACCTGGTCGGGTTCGCATGCGCATCGGAGTGGTGTCGCCTTGACCAACATGCCGTCTGGCCGTGCAACGGTGAGACATGAACACTTGCACGTCTCAGTAGCGAGCTTATGACGCGCCCCACTCCACAGCATGTTCTGCCCCACTCCGCAGCCCCAAAGGCAGGTCGGTTGGAAGATGATTGGCTCCACGTCGTTTGAGAAGTGACGTTGTTCGACCGAGCGGCCAAAAACGCGCGGCGTTTCGGACGTCTGAGCCCTTCAGGCGGCCCTCGAAGCCCCAGCCCATCTCCGCGGAATCGAAGCAGCAGCCCAAAGCCACGAAAAGCACGAGGTGGGGTAGCCCAATTCTCTTTTTTGGTTCAGCGGTTTCCTTCTTAGGACAGTTCATCCAAGTTTCCAGAACGCCAGGCGAAATGGATCGAAATTGATCGAAATGAAGGACCCTTCTTGACCTGGTCCAGATGATCACCACCCTCTTTTTTTCCTCTTTCCGCTAGTCTAAGGCTGACGCCTGTGACCGGTGCAAACTTGATCACCACCACCAAAGAATAGTTTTTTTTTTTTGCACAGATGGTGACCCTGACGACACCAGCTGTACATGGCAATGCACAAAAATTGCTTTTCCTGGGTCTTTCCTTGATGTGGCAGGGTTTCGTGGGGCACTGTGGGCGTTTGGTTGGTTGGTTGGTTGGCATGGCTTCTTACTCACTCGGGTCTCAACCACTGAAAAGAGTTACTGGCCGAATCTGTACCATGTGTTTGAAGGATTTGAGCCTCCTTGTTTCGAGCCTCCTGGAGCATTCGAAGACAGCGCACATGTGATCAGCATGTTATTCATGTCCAAGGTGGTGGTACGAGGTGCGACATTATTTGTAATCCAGACAAAGGTTTACTGTACTGGTGAGAAGAGGACAGTCAACTATCCCACTCCCAAGATTTGAAAGCCACTCAGGACAGATCGAAGTCTCATTTATGAAACAGGTATTGTTGCGAAGCGGTCGTGCTTGGACGATGACTGACCCAGTTTCAGAGCTCTTGTACAAACGTCAGAGGCTGGGGAATCCGTTTATGTGTTTATCTTTCACAAGCCTTGAGACGTTGGCATTGTGGTGTTGGTGTGGCTATCCATATACACATCTTCGTCGTGTGTCATGCTGTCAGACCGGTCCACGTGCCAAAAACACCGCGCCCAGGTGACCTGGAGGAGGTCGTGGATCCCGAAAACCCGAACGCTGGGGTGAGCGGCCGTCGGGGGACTGCCTGGGGGACTGTCGGGACCGATGGATCCGACGCCTGACGCGGAGCTTTGGAAGTCGCTGTGAGCAGCAGCTGGTTTTTGTTGCTTCTTGCGTTCTCGAACTGGTGTTGAACCTCCGTGAGAACTGCTCGATTGATATAGCTGAGCTGGAAGCACACGGTTTTGTGGGAACTGATCTGCGATCAAAAACCAGTCTTCATCAGCAGCAACTGCCGAAGTGGTTTGCTCCGACACATTTTCCAGTGACTCATATATAGGGACTTGTAGAGACTCCACCTGGTAGTCATGATCCCCTACTTCATCCTACTTCATCCAATGACGTCCCAGATGCCACGTCCCAGAGGAGGTCCATTTGCGTCCCGCGAGGTACGGGTCATGCCGGATGACGATGATTCTTCAGGTGGGGCGGCTCCAAACACCCGACGACCGGATCCATTGGGGGTCATAGGACCCTGAGGACCCGGCGTTCACCAGCAGGCTTGCTCTCTTTGCGTTCACCCGTAACGTAACAACAGCCAGTTCCAGTTTTAGCTGATCGAGTTAATTTCCCTGTGTGATCCTGTGGGTGATCTGAAGAAATTGTGTGTTTTTTGATCGGTTCCTTAATTCAGCAATTTGAAGAATTTGGTTGTAAGGTGTAAGTGTAGTTGCCATGGGTTTGGTGTAACATGGGACTTGCCGGACTTCACGCCACTTGACTAAGTTGCGGCTGGCAAGTCCCGTGTAGACCCACTCTCAGAAAGATGGACAAACCAACGTGACAAACATTCAAAGACCCTCCCAGTCGGAGAGTTGGCAGGCATTCTTCTCCAGCACCAGCTTTGAGCGACCGCAACGACCGCGCCAAAGAAGCAGCGATCGTTCGAGTTTAGCGTTTGCGCGTTGGGGATGGGAGGGATTTGGGAAACGGTGGTCATCGGCCGGCGAATGGCCAGAAACTGAGCAACTCAGCATCAGCCGGAAAGGCAGAGAATGCTTGGAGGAGAGATACACAGAGATAAACTAACTTCGCTTGAACATGTGCAGTTTCTTCATCATCTATACAGAAAGATCTCATGTCTTTTTCGAATCAATCCTCGAGCTGGCCCAGTTCCTTATCGCTGATGGCCCAGTTCTCAGACTCCGATGGTTTTGGCGCTCGTCACACGTATGGGCTGCATAGTAACTCAGCGCACCGTTTCACGGGTCGGGTCGCCGGACCAGACCGGACCACGGAAAAAGGGGCGAGCGGAGCGGGTCGGAGCGGATCGGAAGACGGGAGTCCCGTCGATGATCAGCGAGCTGAGTCGGTGAGTCGGCGATCTGCGCGAGCTGAGTCGGTGAGTCGGCGAGCCGTGCCCGACATATTTGGCTTGAAGTTGAGGGCGTTTCTCATTCTAGCACTCGTATTCAATCCTGATCATTGAACAGTGAACTTTTCACTCGAAAAAGGCTAATGACATCATAAAATTAACCCACCAGAAAAAGAATCAATCGGCGGTCCAGCTCCATGGACGAGAGCACCTGAGAACTCCTTGGTGCTCAAGGACATAGGGTTATCCGGGATAGGCGTGCGACTGTCCGTTTCTGTCGTTGGAGATCGATTTTTGTGCGGTTGACAGATTGATGATCGAAGTGAGCAGAAACTCTCTCCGAAGGCTCAGGTTGTGATCGGTACTGTAGAAGGCTCACCTGCACATTACACATTGCACCTCATTGCCAAAATCTTTTTGGCTGATGGTGAATGTTTGTAAGATGCTTGGTTTGCTCATGCTTCACCTCGCTCTCGCAGCTGCGGAATACAACGCCTTGCTGCAAGCAGCTAGTGAAGGGCTCGGGCATGTGGGCCCCAAGCGAATTCCATGCCTGGTCCACCAATTGTGGAAGGCGCAAAATGGTCAGCAGCAGAACACATTGAAGCTCAAGAACCCCACCTGTGAGTTTCAATTTTGGATCTTCGGCTGAGCAAACAGTACATCCGCAGTATTGAAGTGTATTGAATACTGATGCATATGTTCAATTATTTTCATATGAAGTTTTAATACAACATAATAACACCTTTGGCTGTTGATTTTTGTTTCATGTCCATTTTCTGCTTCGACAGTGGGTGTACAACCATTGATCAGACTGGCACCAAGGAATGACACAGAGATGGAAACATTCTGCAGGACGACGTCTCAGAACCAGATTTGGCCCATTTGGGATCGGCTTGCACATGCGGAAAAGGCGAGTGTTTTTGGATACCTGGTTCTGTGGGACCAGGGAGGTTATTTTGCAGACATCAACGTGGAGTCGGTGATTCCCATAGACACCGATCACCTGGCGACTTTCGTTGACCGCAAAGGACTTGTGCGGCATGTGCTGTGTTGCCACATTCAAAGCTGACACTATATATATATATACATAATTGACAAAGTCTGACACACTTCGACATTGGTTTTCAGTTAACTCAATTTCCAGGAAAATGGTGATAGAACGGCACGGTGAGAGATTCAGTTCACTTGAAAGGTTGAACAAGCTGTTTGTGCGTGACTGCAGAACTCAGCGGTGGTGAACGAGTGGGTGACTCAGCTGCAAAACCAAGGTTTGGGGGTGGAAGCATGAAGGACCATGAAACAAACCGTGGAAGAGTAGGGTAACAGCTTGTGAGAGAACGAGCAGGTACGTCAGTTCCGCGTCCGGAACTGATATCCTCACCATGTATTGCCAGCTTCGTTGATGGAGAAGCAATACAGGTGTCTCCATCCCCTGCTGGAAACGCGAGAACCCTTCGGAACAGGGCTGGACACACACACACGGTGCCGCTTGGCGGCGCTCGCGTGAGAAACCTGAATAGATACCTAAAAAGCCTAAGAAACGAAAGAAAGAAAGACAGAAAGAGCAGCGCTAAGAGGGCAAGAGAGAAAGATAGGTGTAGAGAAATGAAAAACGAATACTTAGCCCTTGACTGGGGTAGGGAAACGAGCCTCAAGAGCCACCTAAAAAGCCTGAGAAAAAGCCCAACAAACGACGAAAAGCGTAAGAAGGAAAAGGAGGCAGGGAGGGGGTGTATGTCCATGTGTGTGTTTGAATACCTAGCACTCTAGAATTACTGAATACTTAGACGAAGTGAATTCGGTGCACTAGTTAGGGAGCGGGACTTTTGTCTTACACCGCCCGGGTAGAGTAGACTAGAAAAGGGACAACAGAGGGAAAGGCACCGACACACACGTGTGTCGAGTACCATTTCCCTATGTTACCCTAATTAGGTAGGGAGTAGAACACAGTGGGGGGGGGGGTTGGGAGACCTGCCTCAAGGGGGAAAAAAGCCGTTTTTAAGCCCGGCGGCTATCAAATTCGTTTTTTAGCCCGACGGCTGTATAAGCAGTGAATTCAGGGTGGAGAAGTTGAGGAAAAGTTAATGAAAGAACGATGAGTCAGTAACACGATTTCCGGCATGCAAACGGCGCCTCCTTGCGGAGGATCACACCCAGCACCCATGTGGGACGGCTGAGCGGCTCACACTTCGACATTGGTTTTCAGTTAACTCAATTTCCAGGAAAAGGTGATAGAACGGCACGGTGAGAGAGTCAGTTCACTTGAAAGGTTGAACAAGCTGTTTGTGCGTGACTGCAGAACTCAGCGGTGGTGAACGAGTGGCGTGACTCAGCTGCAAAACCAAGGTTTGGGGGTGGAAGCATGAAGGACCATGAAACAAACCGTGGAAGAGTAGGGTAACAGCTTGTGAGAGAACGAGCAGGTACGTCAGTTCCGCGTCCGGAACTGATATCCTCACCATGTATTGCCAGCTTCGTTGATGGAGAAGCAATACAGGTGTCTCCATCCCCTGCTGGAAACGCGAGAACCCTTCGGAACAGGGCTGGACACACACACACACATTTACAGTACCAGTAGCCCATGCAAAAAAGTGAGTATGTTGGATGGTATTGGCCACCTGCCACCTATTAAAACAGGAGGTGCAGATATTGACGGCCAGTGGAAGCTTTGGCCATTCGCAGCCTGGAAGATTGAAATGACCCCTCAGCTCGCAGCCAGTGCGCGAGCCCATGTGGTCACCCTTGGCGTAGCTGGTGCTTTTGGAGTGCATCAAGAAGAATCTGAGGTCTGAGAACTTCAAAGCAAAGAAAGGCGTTGGGCGCAAACGGCGGTGGCAGGTAAGACCGCCTGGGCCCATTGGTTCGCCGGTTTTCTTTAATGCACTGAATTAAGTTCGCCTCCAGGCAGCCTGGCAGGTATACAGTCTGGAGATGTTTGGACGCTTTTCAATCACGCATCTCGTGAATCGATTGGCAAGAGGTCAGTCACGGTATTTTCAACGCTCCGACTTGAAACCAGGCGAGTTGGCATGCTGACGCATGCCGGAATACAACGTCATCTGTCACCCTGAATCAGGGGTGCGACTTTCGCCGCTGATACCTTGACTTCAAAAAGACTTTCGCCGCTGGCGACGCGGCGACGCGGTGATTCGACTTCACCGCTGGGCATGTTCATTACTGGCAAGTTTTCACCAGACCACTCATTTTGTTCATTGCTCGATAAGTCCTCTCTGGTTCTTGGAGTTTGCGCCAATGCAGGAAATCGACAATCGCAGGAACATTGTCTAAGACCAATAAGACCAAGACATTTTGATGACCCGTGCACTGAAAGCATACTAGTTACTAGTGACAAAGCAACATTGATTGTCTTTTTTGGGATTGGAATGGTTGGGTTTGAAGATGTTTGAAGTGTTGATTGGAATTGTCAGGACATGGCAGAGCCAGCTGAAACTCCAGAAGTATCAGCGCCAGCAGAAACAGAAGCTACTGCAGCTGAAACTCCTGCAGGGGTAGCATCAGACGCTCCGCCAGCTGCTGAGGCAGAAACTGAAGCAGCTGATGCCACACTGGCCCCAGTTGAGACTGAAGCAGAAGCAGCTGATGCACCAGCAACGGCAGCTGATGAACCAGCGACAGCAGCTGATGCAGCAGCGGCGACAGCAGCAGCTCCTGCTGATGCTGCGCCAGCAGATGCAGTGCTGCCTTCAGCTGTGACAGAGGCCTCCGGCTGGATCTGCCCGGATTGACGGAGGCTGTACTGAGGCTACTCAGCCATCTAACTAGCATTGTTGATAGCCTCTTCGGACCAAGCACTGGCACCAGGAAGCTCAACATAGATGAACAAGCGGCAGTCTTCTTCTGAGCCCGAGCCCTTCCCATACGACCCTTGAATCTAGTGGCGTCCTTGCTCCTAGTAGCGATACCAGGAGCCCCTAGTAGCGTCCTTGCTTCTGGCAGGGATGCCAGGAGCCCCTAGTAGCGTCCTTGCTCCTAGTAGGGATGGCAGGAGCCCCTAGTAGCGTCCTTGCTCCTAGTAGGGATGCCAGGAGCCCCTAGTAGCGTCCTTGCTCTTAGTAGGGATGCCAGGAGCCCCTAGTAGCGTCCTTGCTGTAGGGATG